CTGCTGTTTTTCGACTCGAAGGAGTATACCGTTGTAGAGTGCGTTGACGCATGGTGCCCGCAGTAAGAAGCTGCGAAGGTTGTGCGTCCGCAAGAATAAGAGCAAGCTTTGGCAGCTGATGGACTGCACATGGTCACATAGTTTTGTCTCCTCCACGGATGTTTAGCACCGCCTGGAGGAAAGGAGACACCAGGTATGCTTGGGGCGAAGGGGCCCTGAAGCCTAAACCAGTAAAGAGTGATGAAAGTTTGCACCACTTTGACTTTGTCTTTGTTGCCCTGGTATCTCAACCTCGACGTGCCTCGCGAAGTGATTGAAGTTGCGACGCGGTGCGTCGATGTGCCGTTTGAGCTTTGATTCCCTCGTATGGACCCTGCGGAGCGGATGCCCTGGTGGCATGTTGTGCAGTGCGGGTGACAGAAACCCTAGACCCTAAACCCTGCACCCTGAACCCTGAACCCTGGACCCTAAACCCTAAACCCTAAACCTGTAAGTGCCCTGGCGCCTCTCCACGCGCCGAGGCTTTCAAGAAGCCGAAGGCCAGGTGCCCATGTGAAGCTCCAGCCATGAATCTAAGGGTAGTTAGGGTTGTTACATGGGCCCAGTATGGTCACCCTACCTTCTGTACAAGGTTCTGATGTATGTTGTGCAGGGTTTATAAGGGGTCCCCTTTTTCAGGGCCCACACTAAGGGCTCCTGAAACTACCCTTAGGATGAGAGAGTATCCGAGATTTCTTGGAGACCGAAGTTGACCTTAATTATGAGCAACAGCTAATCATGGCATATTCTTGGCATTGGCATGTTGACAACTCTTGTTTTGCGTTGGGTTGCTTTGGGCTTGGGGTCCTGGGTTGATTGGTTGGTTGGTGAGGGCATGCGTGCGTGCGTGTGCATGCCTGCCTGCTTGCCTGTCTGCCTGTGCCTGTGCGCTGGCACACGGGCCTGCGTGTGTGCTGGGTGAGTGCTGGCGTGCGAGCCTGCATGCGTGCGTGGTGTGTGTGTGTGTGTGTGTGTGTTTTTGTTTGTGTTTGTGTTTGTGTTTGTGTTCGTGTTTGTGTATGTGTATGTGTTTGTGTTTGTGTGTGTGTGTGTGTGCGTGTGCGTGTGCGTGTGTGTCTGTGGGCCCGGTGTTTTTTTCTTTCCTAACGTTGGCCCTGGCTTGTTTGCCTTGGTAACGTTGGCCCCAGGCCTTCTGGTCATCTGGTCCCCTGGTCCTGTGGTCCCGTGGTCCTCAGGTCCCCTGGTCCTCTGGTCCCGTGGTCCTCTGGTCCCCTGGTCCTCAGGTCCCGTGGTCCTCTGGTCCCGTGGTCCTCTGGTCCCGTGGTCCTCTGGTCCTCTCCTCTGGTCCCGCGGTCCTCTGGTCCCGTGGTCCTCTGGTCCCGCGGTCCTTTGGTCCTCTGGTCCCGTGGTCCCCTACCCTGGTCATTTGATTGTATCCATGTAATATGTTTTCGTAGTAATAGTATAATAAGGCATGTAGTATGGTCCTTTGGTCCCGCGTTTCCCGGTCCCGCAGTCAGATTTGGGTTGTAATAATTTCTGTAGTATAACATAATATCATATAATACGTGACAATATATAGACAATATACATATATCATATATACAAAAATGGCTTATCAGAATATATAGTAGATATAATATAACATCATATTACTATTTTTGTATATACTAGATATGTATTGTGTTTTATTCTACGTAGAATAAACTATAACATATAGGTTATGAAAACATATTATAGATTAAAAACTCTATATATATATTTATTCATTTCTTTCTTTATTTATTTGATATTGAATAAATATACAATATAGACAGCACATGATTTTGGGGGGGGCGGGCAAGCTTGCTTCAACGCGTATGAATCCTTCCAAACCCATGATGCGAGCATTGTGTTTGCAAATGGGGGGGGCTGCGCCCCCCCCAACCCCCCCGCTGTTCTTTAAGCCGGGCAAGATTGCTTTAAAGCATATGAACCCCTTCCAAACCCATGATGCGAGCAATGTCTGTGCAAAATAAACATCAACGCACAAGAAGGTACAATCATGTACAAGAATATACAGGAATACAACATATTTACAATAATATACAATCATATGCAATAACATACAATAAGATACAATAATACACAAAAACATACAATAATATACAATAATATACAATAATATGCAATAATCTACAACTATTTACAAAAAATACAGTTATAGACCAGAAGATACAGCAATATACAATAAAAAACCATTAACAAAAATATACAACAATGTACAACAATATACAATCATATACAATAATATACAAGAATATACAATAATATTCAATAATATAAATTGTTGTCAATAATATACAACAATTTACAATGTTTCACAGCCATATCCAATAATATACAGTAACATAGAATACTATACAACAACATACAACAATATACAAGAACTGAGAATGGTATGCAAGAATATTACGAATATACAACAGTTTTCAATAATATACAACCATATGCACTAATATACAATAATGTACAGGAGAATAATGCAATAATATTCAATAATTCACAGCAATATACAATATCTACAATAATATACAAGAGCATGCAATAATTTACAACATTATCCAATACTATACAATAATATACAATACTTTGCAATAATATTTAGTAACATACAACAACATACAGGAATGGACAATATTTTGCAAAAATGTACAGTAAGCTATAAGAAGATACAACCATAAAAAACACAATAATCTTCCATAGTATACAAGATTTTTGAATAATTCACGACAATATACAATAATATACAAAACATTCGAGAATACGCAACAATACGCGCTAATAAACAAGAATATACAAGAAAAAATGTACATCAGTTATATACCAGAATATACATAAGAATAGCTTACAGTTTTTTACAATAATATACAATAGTATACAACAATTTACGAAAATATACAGACAATAAAATACAAAACATTCAATAAAGTGCAACAATCAAGAAGACTATGCAAGAATGAAGTAGTATGCAAGAATGGTTAATAATATCAATAGCATTCAAGTACAATAGTGCATTAATAGAATAGCATAAAAATGTTGTGTTTTCATCATTTAGAGCCTGCAAGCAGGTGCAATGCTGCAATCTACAGCCTTTCAAGCTTTGTAATACGCAGAAACGCTGTGTTTTTAGGCGTTTAGGGCCTACAAGCACCCGGAAATGCTGCATTTCATGGCATTTAGAGCCAGGAATTGCTGGGCCAACGTTAGCAAGGACCACGAGCCAGGGCCAACGTTAGGGAAGAAAAAAACACCTCCGCCGTGTGTCTGTGTATATGTGTGTGTGTGTGTGTATTTGTGGGTGTGTGTGTGTGTGTGTGTGTTTTGCTTGTTGCGGGGCGGGGGTTGCAGGTTTATTTCAGTTTTGATTTTTTCAACTTTTCCCGACGAGTGTTTTTTGCTCCCCGTGCCCCGGTGCTAAGTCGATCCTAGCAACGACATGCACGCGCATGGTTTTCACCTGCTTGCAAAGGTCTTTCGCTTCTCGAGTTGCCTCCTTCCCATATAATAGCAGAGCCATTTCTGGGATCTATTGCAGCTGCTGTTGGGGCCCTTGCGGCCAGAAATTGTGTGAGCTGAGCTGTGGAGCTGTGGCTTTGGTGGCCCGGGCACGAGCGTGTGAAGGGTGACCACGTTGGGTTGCAAGCCTCAGCACGGCGGCGGCTTTTGGCGCACACCAGTCCTACCAGCCGGCCCTAGATTCTTTGGCATGCTCGAATTCAATTCGAAACCAATATGTTAAGTTCTGCACAGCGAGCTCTTGAGCCCTTGCGCTTCGCCTACCTCCAGGTAGAGATGCCAACGCCGAGAAAGGTTATGCCTCAACCTGGTGGTAAAGGACGGAGATGTTGAATGGTTCTTGAGAGTGAGAGTGGGGCATGGTTTAGATAAAACCGCTTGAGACCGCTGTGCCAAGCTCGAATCTCTGAGAAGTCCCTAGCTAGCTTGCAGGAGGAGGTGGGTACAAGGGTGGCAAGGAGCGCTCTTCTGTTGAGAATGCTGATTCTCCCCAAAGACCGGACCTCTCACACGCACCTGGCATGCCAGGCGCAAGGAAAAAAAGGTGGCCCCATTGCGGCAAACAAGTGGGACGCTCAGTCAACATCTACACCGCAGCAACGTGCAGAGTCCTAGGTCCTATGTGGTTTGCTTTTTTTGAGACATCATGTGCATGCCACAGCACACTGTGCTCGGTGTGATCAGGTCCTTAAAGGGTCTGCCGCGCGTGCAGATCTTGGAAATTCTTTCCAGATGCATGGCTCATGGCCGCTGGTGCAAAACATGTCAGCACGTGACCAATTCAGGATACGCCCATTTGGGTACAGCTACCTCAGGACGCCGTCTCAGTTCCTCAGCATTGAGTGCCTGCATCGTACTGAGTTGCGCATTTGGGCGGTGGCGTAGCTTTCAGGACCAGCTGGCGCCCGAGATCTTGCAGGCACCTGTGGCAGGGAAGCTGCTTGCATGTCCGAAAGCTTACGTTCGCCGACAGTTGCCTCTATCAGCCTTGGTTCAACCTATGAGATCAAGCCAACAAATTGACCTAAATATGGTGCAAGAGACACTTGCGCGCTATGTACAAGCCATTCCAAGTCAAGCCCCTACTGAGCCCTACTGGCCCTGCTTACTTGTAGCTGTGGACATGAGTTCTATAGGACAAAGCTCCGTGTTGGACCACTCCATTTTGTGTTTCTGGAGAGGGATATGTAAGAACGAATAGCGTGCAGGAAGAGACATAGAGAGATGCGGTAGCTCGGATCCGAGCCATGACGAGCTCTCCAAGTGTCTTGGCCTGGTTTGCCTTGGCTTGTAATGCCTTAAAAGCACCCTACACCTTCATGTGCAACATGGGGGCCTCGAAGCATTGCTTTCCGCAGGCCTTTTGGCTGGAGGCCTAGATACTCCATGCAGTTCTTGTATTTCATTTCACATCCTACAGGAACTTCCATTTCGCATGCGTAATGGGCAGGACTTGCCGGAGCCTAAGTTGGACGGCGTGCTGGTGTGGGGCCTGCGCATCCACAGGGATGGCCCCAATGCCAGACAAGCTGCATAGGGATTTTCATAACGTTTTCGTATTTGGGATTCTGACCCTGGTCGTGGCCTGGGTCGCGAAGGTTGTGTATCAACTGACTCGGGCCGTCGAGTTGAATGTCCGCCTGTCACGAGCACGCTCCTTGCAGCTGGAAGCCATGAGCATCTACGTACATGACTTCCAGATGCTCATCCGTCAGCATTTCAACCAAATACTCCGCTTACGGAGGACGGTTCCACCAAAACCAGTGGTCCGACACGAGCTCACCACGCACGTACATCCGGAGTCGATTAGCTGCCTGTGGGTGGGAGAAGAAGACTCTGGAGGTGGACCGATGGGCTTTGGCGTTGAGTTCGACATAGATGCTTCGGCCCCCTGCTGTGTGAGGCTCTACTGGGGCTTGAGCGTACAGGCCTGCAATGAATTTGTACAGCGCAGTCAGGCACCCGAGCAGAGCAGGCGGCATGCAAGCACAGGCAGCACAGGCAGCACGTTCCGAAGCCTGAGGGGCCGATGGACAGGGCGGACAGCCTGCGCCAATCCAGAGACGACGAGGTCACTTCTGGAGATGGAGGAGCTTGGGGGTGCTGCTCCAGGCGCTGCTGAAAGTGCTGCAAGCAATTGGCCGGCTCAGTATGCCCAGTCTGCCACCACAGAAGCAAATGAGGAACCTCCATTTTCTTCCAGCAGCTGTTTTGCACAGTCACGGGATTTCTTCTTGCCGGCCGGTTGTGGGCAGCGCTATGTGACACCAGCTGGCGACTTGATTCACCCGGGCGTACTGAAGTTTGACATGAGTGCATCTTGGCTTCGGCAGGGCCAGGCGGGCCAGTCGGGCCAGGCACCGGACCAGCCAGTCATCCCCCTAGCCATTGTCGTGCTTTCATCTGGGCCATCGGTGCGATCTGCAAACGCAGGGAATGCGGCCCAAGGTCGTTCCGTGTCGGAAACCAAAGGTCAAATATCTTTGGTCAAGTTTCACACTAGGGCACAAAACAAAGGCAACTCGCCTTACCACACAGCGGAGATCATCAGGCAGTTTTGCTTCTGCGAGTCGAACATCGCCTTCGATGTGCAAGGAATCTATGGCTTTGAAGATGCTGGAGAAAGCGACTGCATGATCTGCTACGCCCGGCCTAAGAATGTCGTTTTGCTTCCATGCCGCCACTGCTCAGTTTGCCACTCCTGTTTGCGTTCCTTACGCGACGAGAAGTGCCCATTGTGCAGGAGTTCTTTCTCCAGTTACATGACCTGTCCCGTTTCACGAAGCCCTCAAACCCAAACTCGGGAGAGAGGCCCGACGGGTGCACAGACTCCTCAGGGCCCTCACAATGACTCTTGGTCACGGAGAAGCTTGAGGCTCGACGAGGACTCCTTGGCGCCGCTCGCGCCCGAAGGGCCCACCGAACCGTGAATCTGCGCTTCGGGATGCTAGCATGAGGACACATGGGCTTGCATAAGAAAAGGCTGCTCAGGAGCTTCTGGAACGTCAGAAAACATGCTTCCGGGTTCTGGATCAATTAACTACCTGTATATGGCGTATATTCTGTGGCCGTTCGGCGCTGTGCAGCCAAGCAAGTATCGACTCCCACATGCCGTTGTCCTTGACGTCTTTCCGCAAGGTGCGGGCGACTCATGGATCGAGGAATTTACGCTGCAAGGCTTTTGGCCTTTCTTGCTCTCCGGTGGCGGATTCGTATGGCGACTTGATCACGTTACGATACGTTGACCCATGGGTGTGATCCAGTGCTTCGTGAACAGAGGCACAGAAACTCCGGACACTAACCTGAGGCAAGCTCTTTGTTTGCTGGCCGGCTTGGCTGTCAGTGCTTTGCTGATATACGTGGCTTGGTCTTGCTGGCGTTTAGTTGAGGCTCTTGTGTTTTCAGGCTGTTTCAGGGCTTGGCGGTGTGAAATGCAAGGTATACGTCAACGATGCGGTGCCGCAGCCTTTCTTCGGGATGAAGATGCCCACGGTGCCCGGGCTCCAGGCTCGGAGTTCAAGGCGCAGTCGTGCCTGTGCTGGCCATGGGTAACACCTGACCTGAAGGAAGCGCACCTCTATTGGGGGGCCTTTGCAGTGGCGGCAAGTCTGACGGCCTTTGCCTGAAGCGCAGAACAGAAGTCTCAGTTCTACTGGTGCGTAGCGGCGCTTCCCGTGCTCCCAGCATGCCTAGGTGGTCATGCTGCTTAATTGTGCGCTGGGCTTTTCATCCGGCTTCGGTGGCGGCGCATTTGCTTGGGCCTCCTCAGTGTCTTGACCCGTCAGCTGTGGCGATGGTAAGTAGCAGTCTTGAGAACACTGTGGGGCCCACGACTGCTATCCAAGGAGCTGACGACAATTGCTCAGGACATAGACACGTGCATACACGATGCGACTTGGCAAGAGGCCCACAACAACTGATGCGGGTTGCTTATGGTAGCTTCGTCAGTCGCAAGCTTAGATTGCCCCCTCCAACCCAGATTCGACACAAGCTCAGGTGGAAGGCGTGGAAGGAGCGGCTGCCACAGTCAAGAAGGATTTGACCTTTGTCTGGCTATGTGCTTGTCATTCACCCGCGATATGTCGCAACTCCGGGTACAGTCGCATGCAAGCAGTGTAATTGTTTTTGGCGAATCGCTCCCTCATCCAAGGGACAAGCTCTTTGAGATTTGTCCACCTGCAATTGAGCAAATGCTCGGGGCATCGGTTTCGCAAGCAAAAGGGCACATTGCCACTGCTAAGACGGAAGCGGGCCTCACAGCCTGCCTCCCAAGAATCACTCGCAATGTGCACTTTGGGGAGTCGTGTGCAGCACAGAGGTGAACCACCCAGAAACTCAGGTCGAAGCTTTGCGGGACCTGCCAGGGCTACTGCAGGATGCAGCCTCTGAAACCAGTGAGATGTCGGGATGGCAGCTGGTGCTGCAATGGAATTGCTGGTAGCTGGTTTCATCTTGTTTGGCACAATTCCAAGCGGCAAACCGCAGCAGACCGTTTTTTGTAAGGCTCCCTCTGCTAGCCGGGCTGAGCCTTTCGGCAGTGCTGGTCTGCGGAGGTGCAGCTGGCGCCCCAGATTATCCAGATCCCAGACGCTGCACCTTTGTTGTCCTACTAATTAAGTCCTACTACAAGTAGTAGCTGCTCTTAGCAGGTGGGTCTGTATTTCCTCGCCGCCCAGAATGCGACGGTGAACAAGCATCTCACGAAGAAACTCTCGTCCAGAGCGTTCCTCGACCTGCGCCGATCAAGGGCAGAGACAAAATCCACGGTACAGTTTCGGGTGTCCCGACAACAGCTCAGGTCAAGTCTTGTCCTTCCAGTGTGTACAGCTGTGGCCACCATCCTACTCTGCGTGGCGGCCACCGTTGAATTATCGACCGCTGGCACTGTTGTGGCCTTTTGCAGACAAGAAGGCTGGGTCTGCGTGTTGTCAGCCTATCGACCGGCATCTTGTTCACATCCTTGACAAAGAACCCCTGTGTTCTTGCTTCGACAGTGCACGAAGGTGGCCCGGACCAGCATGTTCTCGAACTGGCGGCGCAGAGACCTGACAGTGCCAAGATGTGTTCACAACAGGGAGAGTATGGATGAAATGCCTGGCAAAAATCACCTTTTTTTATGAGCAGCTTTGTGTTTCAAAGGATGGCCGGAGAGACATCCAGCAGCTATGGGCTGGCCGAGTATTATCTCACAGGCAGACAAGCCGAGGGCTTGCCGGGTGTTTAGGCTTTTCGACTTGGAGGTGGCATGCGAGAATGCCATGCCGTGTCTAACTGGTACCTTCAGCAAGCAATGCCGTGCTTGCGTGAGCTTTCGCGAAGGAAAGAGCAGAAGAACTAGAGCATAGGAGTACAGTGACTACAGGAGAGGCCAGGAGACCCGGGCGAGGAGAATAACTAGGTGAGAATCTATCAACCCCGCAAGGCAGGGAATTATCATGAGAGAGAAATTTAAGATATAGTCGTAAGAGTAGCTAAAACCATCAACTGTAGGGGAATTGTCGTAGCAAAAAGGACGAGAACCTGAAGCAGCAACAATTCCGCCCTTGCTTCTTCGAGGTGAGGTGGACAACCCGGCAGTTGAGCATCTCCAACGGGCCCAGCAGGCCGTCTCTGCCAGCGTCAGCTGGCTGGATGAGTATCGGTGGCCTGGTCTGACACATTCACTACAGTACGAAACCCTTGGCAGATCCGCAGTTGCCGCAAGAGCGCAGACACAGGCCACTTTTGTGGCAGTCCGTCATGGTTGCTCAGGAATGCCCTTGTGCAGACGTGTCCAATGTGGGAAGCTCAACGAGTCTACGGAGATCTCACCGCTCTGCATGCCAGTCTCAACGTCAGCGAGGCTTCGCCGCACCTAGCAAAGCTACTGTAGAGGATACATAAGAAAGGGAGTTGATCTAAGATATAGGAATTTTTTGTGGCCACTGGAACTAAGGAGTCAGTCCTCAAGCCATCCAACCTTTACGGGCACTACAAAGAGGCTGTTCATGTAGCTGCTTGTAGCGGTGGCTCTTCCGGGCTTGCGGCTTGGCAGCACATGGCATTTGCCAACTGCCCCCAGACAAGTTTGCTGAGCTGGAAAGAAGACACTCTGGCCTAGGCTGGCTTGGCCATCACCCAGATGATTCTAGGCACCGACTCTTCTTCCTTCTCTCTTAATGAGCTTTTGTATGAGGGTCATGAGGGTCATGTTGCATCCAGGTGCAATTTGCCTGCCCTTCTTGACCGTGACCGCCTCTTGGGTACTGGACTACCTGTCCAGGGGCGGCGCCGCCTGACCGCATTTGACCGTGAACTCGCCGGAGCTTGGTGCTTTTTGGTGGTTGTGGTGGCTCCGCTGAGGCTTACCAGAAGCTTGACAAGGAAGGGCAGAGTAGTGATGACGAGGCTGCCTCGAAGGAGGGTGAGTTGAATGCCCTCTACTATGCCTGCCACTTACGCTCTCATCAGAGCACTGTCGGCATGAGGGGCCAAGAGTATCGGAATTTTGTTGCTTCGACCCAAGGTTGTTTATGCATTCTCTGAAGCTTGGCTTGCAGTTGTTGCTTGCGTCTGATTGACTGCGTGCTATGGTGCCGGTGACTTCAGGTTCAGCTAGACTTGCCATGGGTTACTTTCTCTGAGCAATCTCTGCAGGCCTTGATATTTGCGGTGGGGGCCTGGATGTATTTTGTGCCACAACCTGGACTGGTGAGACCCATCACGGGCACACTGCTCTTCGGCAGTGGCGTGCTCTGGTGGCACAGACAACTGCAGTGTATCTAATAAACACAACCCTTCTGCGAAGTTGGGTTTTGGTGCATGTATTAGAACTTTCAAGAGATAGGTAAGAGTGGCTCGTGGCTCAGGTTTTTCTGATGATGAACTCCGACTTGATTGTTACTTACTTCCGTCTGCACGAGCAGGTGGCATTCGGATCTCGTGCTTGTTCCTCAAAACCCGCACAGCACGCCATGCAAGGTGGAAAAGTTCAGGAAGAACAATGAAGGCTGCTGGACTGCACGACGTGCTGCGAGGGGCCACACGCCCACACTCGTGCCGGCTAAGCCACCTGTCACACTGCACATGGTTCTGTCACACGGTGCCTTCAACGGCGTTGTTTGAGCAATGCAGCCACGGCGACCAAGAAGTTCTCGTAGCTGGAAAAACTTTGACAGACGACAGTGAACTCCGAAGATGCAAAAACAAGGCCTTCGGAGGATGCGGTGTCGATTCATCCTATAAACACGGTATATGGGTGTTTCCGAAATCATAGTAGCTTATCGGGGTCCTTATTAGATGGGGATCCTACTATTTGTGGATCCAGATTTGGGGGTCCCCATTTTCGGCAACCCCCATTTTCGGCAACCCCCATGGCGCATTCAGAATACCCGCGCATTCCGGAATTGATGCTTGCCATGCTCGTCCCCGTGGAATGACGAATGAACACAACCACCATGGAAACAGTTGCAGCGTTGGCTCAGCAATGCTCGGCAGTTTGACAAGTTCCAGACAACGGCGGCCGAGAACCTGCCCACCATTTTACCCGGGAAGGCCGAACGTATGCCATTGAGACACGCTAGCTTGCGCAACGGAGCTTCACCAGCTCAATGGACAGCGCATGGCAACTCGACATTTGTCCTGGACATCCGTACAACCGATGTTCTAAGCCCTACAAAGAAGACGACGAGGCCCAGAGTGAGTGTTGAGACGCCGTTGTCGTTGGGTACTCAGGCTGCCTGTTTGCGAATCTTGGTGGGACCTGTCGTCCGAGGGCCGTAAATTTCGAAGCAGAGTTTGAGCGTTTACATTGCATGCTTTTCTCCAACGAGAGAGGCCGCGAAGGAGTGCGCGTCCTTTGTGTCTTTTGGACTTCAGAGCCGATGCCTTCTTCCATGTACTCCATCGTAGGCCCTCGGTGCCCCCATGTGAACGGCAGCTTTCGCTGCCACCTGTTCTCTCCAAAGTGACGACCGAGATTCATCACGGGCATTCAGAAGCAGTGTTGAATGAGGCCAGCTAGCAGCTGGCACATGTAGGACAATAGCAATTGTTATTCAGTTTGCGAGACGCACGGTTTGCCTTTCGTCGCTCTTAGTAGAAGATGTCGAAAGCATCCAGCCACTTCCTTGCAAGGTTATCAGAAAAACCTCGAGAAGGAGGCTCAGGAGGCACTCTTGACAAAACAAGAAAAGACAAGACAGAGGCAACAAAATAGCAAAGTATATATATATATATAGATATGTGTATATATATATGTGTATATATGCATAGATAGATAGACAGATACAAAAAAAGTATGTCTATATACATATATAATATAAATATAAATGTATAAATAAAAAAGAAAGAAATAAATACATAAATAAATATATATATATATATATAATGCACGTGAGCTGTCACAGGTCAGAGACTTGCGAAGGGCTCAAAAAGGCTTCGAAGAGATAGATCGCACCTTGGCGCCAGCATCCAGTGCTGTGACCATGTCCGACAAGCTTGGACAAGCTTGAAAAGCCCAGGCAAATTTGGCAAGGACGTTGAGCGAGCCATGAAGGAAATCAAAGTGATGCCTGTCTACAGACCATTCAGAGCATATGCAGGAGTATTCGCATTTCTGGCACATGCGTGAACCACTGACGTCCCTTGCGGGAGGGTGGACCTGCAAATACCGAGCAGTTTTCACTCAGGATGCAAACCACGGCCCGTTCTCAAGTGGGAATGACAATAGGAAGGATGGTGAAAATCTATTTGGACGCAGCGCCCTATCTGCACCTGCTGCCTTGGCAGTTGCGCAGTTGGCTCTGTTGTAGGGAGGGGTCATCGAGAATGCAGTCAGGATGGGGACAAGCGAATAGCTGATGCCGAGCTTGAGGAGGCTTGTGATTCATGCAAGCAAGCATTCAAGTCCGCCTGAACACTGCACACCCGACGAGATTTGCGCATGCAGGCTGTGGCCACCATGGCCGACATCTTCGGAGCCATGATCAAAGGCTTGAGGACTGCAACGAGGGATGCGTAGCAGAGGAGGTGTTGGCAGATCCTAGCATGGCTCGGACAAGTCTCTGGAATTGCTTGTGCTGTTCCTTGTGGTCATGCACATTGCTAGTTGAGGACAGAACGGCTTCCTAAGATGCTGGAGGCGATCCGAGGACACAGTGGCATGATTTCAGCAGTGGACATGATGATAAGCTGCTCCAGATGAGCGTGCATGCGATTGCAATCGCTGCGGGTTGCTTCCCTCAAGACTGTACCCAGTCCATCACCGAGTCTTTACCTGGTGTTTTCGCATGTGCCCCATCAGTGCGCGTCTTACGCCTTACGCCCTTCAAGAACACAGCATGGGCTTGTCAACTCACAAAAACCAGCACAAGACATGGATTGGCTTTCTTTGCAATATTGTCACCCGCAGGGGATGACAGATTGGATTGGGTGTTCGGGGTGTTCCCTGTGCCCGCGGCAGGACATCGGTCTTTCCGCAAGGAAAAAACCATAACGCTGGACGCATTTTCCAAGGCTGGCTCGTTGGTCATTCCATGCGTGCGGCTACGACAGCATCCCTGCCAGAGGCTTTTGAGATCACGCTATTCGTGCCTGACGTGAAGCAGGTCGCACAGTCTGTGAAGACTGTACTGGACGCTTGGTTGCAGATATCTTTACCCATTCGATTTGCCTTGAGGGTATCACTCTTGCTGTCCCTGTTAATTTCGTTTGCCAAGGACGATGCCGAAATCAAGGCAGCGGCGAGAGCTTCCAAGAGAGGGAGAGCTTCTCCCAAAGCATCTCCAAAGGCCTCTCCTTAGCCTCTGTACTTCTCCGTACCATAGTATACCATAGGCTTTCATGCTCTTGAGCAAGAGCATTTTTCATTAGATGGCCCTTTGGCAAAGCCAGGGCCACCTAAGTAGCGCCCATGGCTTCAGCACACGTCTGTGGCCAAATTCGACTTGGCACGAAGAATTTGCCATTCACTGCACGTATTCGGGCATGTGGGCTGGCAACCGGAAGCGGACATGTGAACCCTATTGACTTTGTAGCTCCCCTGATCCTCCATTGGGTGACAATGTCTTTGCCAGACCTTGCCGTAGTCGTCAGCAAGATTCTTTGGCTGTTGAGCACAGGGAATTGGGGAGCTGCGGGTTGCGGGCCGGCTGGATTTCTGATGCTGTATCTCAATGTCGCCAGGAGCTAGGCAGTGATGCAGTTGCCGTGGCATCTGCCTGGGCCTTTGCGTTTGTCCAAATTTGCGGGTTCTTCTTCACACGTTTATCGAGGGAGTTTCCTCGTCGTGTGCTCAGGACATCCCGAACTCTCCGCTGTACGACTGCATCGATGCAGTCCTGGCAGATCTGGTCACCAGCGCCGAGGATGTTTGGAAGGGTTAGATTTGCTTTGTCTCCCCGTCCTGGATTGCCAGGACCTCGTCTTCTGTGACGATCCCAGCCAGGACCAGTTGCGGCCCCAATTCCAGCAGCTTTGCCATGCTCCATCTTGCTTCCAAAGCGCCGTTTTTGTTTTCATGTGGGGATTCATTTCAATAGCGTCATTTGAAATCCGTTGCGTAGCCATTATCATTTTTTTCTCGTAGGCTCGCTCTCTGCTTAAGGTTCCGGGCTTGGGGCGTAGGCCAGCATGAGCCCTCGCATTGCTCGCGTGCCCTCGCGAAGTTTGTTTTTGCTAGAAAAATAAGAATGCATTCCCGCGTAGCGCGCGTGGAAGATCGCCAAAATGACACCTACTCGGACGCAAAAAAGAAAAGAATGCTCAAATGGGCTGAGTTGCTGTCAAGTCGTTTCATGAACATGCTGCTTCCGAGGTTTCCCGAAGTGAGCCTTGCGCTGAAGGCACATGCATCCCGAGAGGACACTTGAGCCGCAGCAGCTGCGTTCCGGCATTTGACATTGAAGCTGTTGAGCATGCAGGAGCCTCTGCAGCTGGCCATCTGCAGCCCATTGGGCCGGATCCACAAGCCGTACCGAATGTTAACTGTTAGCTTGCGGGCGTTTCGAGCATGCGTTCGGCGCATCCAGGTGTTTGGGGCATTGGAGTTGGCCCGACACCGTGTGGGACCCAGCTGACAGATGGTTGAACCGCGCAAGCTTGGCAACATATCCTACAATGGCAAACAGAAAGCAATGTTGCCGCGAAGCATCCAGGACGACCCTCGCAGAATCACACATTAACATGTCCGTTTGGGAGAGGGTGCCCTCCTTTCGCCGGCAAAGCTTCGTGACCAGCAAAACCTGTAAACGTTAAAGCGCGATAGATATTCTATAGTATATAGTCCATATCATACAATATAGTTGAAACATATGCATATATACATATATATACACAGTTGTTTATTTATTGTAATTATTGTTTTTACTAGTACTAGTACTATTATTATTAGTATCATTGTCTTCACTATAATACATATATATATATATACAATGCAACAAATATGTGCGTGTGTGCAGAAATATTGATAGTACAAGACACATCTACAAACATACGCTATAATGCAATATTATACGTTTTCATGTAGCACGAATGGCGGCGCGCATCCATGTCTCACCTACGGGCTCAGCAAAAAGGAGCCCAGAAAAATTGTCTCCTCGAGCCCCATGTTCCCAATGGGGCAGAGATATTGCTTCCGCACTTCCCAGCAGCGGATGGTGTGAGGTCCTAGGAGGCTGCAGGAGGTAGAAGTGGCACTGATCGCTCAGGGAAGCCCGGGTAGCCACCTCAAAGCTGGTTGAAACCTTGGCTCACGCTGTGCTGTCACATACGAATGCGAAGCTCTGCAATGCGGATGTAAGTGCTGCAGCCCGAACACAAGCCCATACCTAGCAAGGCAGTGGCTGCCATGATCGCCCTGAAGGCCAGAGTTTGTCTAGCTGCCCGAGATGCCGTGACTGCAAGTACAAATGCATATGGAGTGCAAGAGGCCGCAGAAACGGGTGATGTTCCCGACCTGTCGCAGTATCCAGATTTTTCTGACTTTGTCCCGAACCCAGATCAAGAAACAGAATGCGCGCAAGCTGCCGCGCAGCCGAACGCCTGCGCAGAGTCGATCGTCTTGAGGTCGGTGGTGTCCAGCCTCCCATATGAGGCCGCTTCACGGAGCATAGCCCTCTCGATTCGATGTGACGGCTTCCTTGCGCGACTTGGGCGGCTGCAAGGCGGACTTCAGACGTGGCCACGGATCTGTGAATCTGAGACTGCGCGAATGCTGCTGGCTTGTAGTCAGCTGCTGGAAGCTTGCCCGATCCGTTCAAGGCCACATGCAGATAAACTAAATGACATAGGAACACCTGCGTCATCAAAATCAACTCTTTAGCATTGGCAGTAATTAAGACCAGTACGAAGCAAACATGCTCCTTTGCAGGAGTTGCTTAGCTGACAAACCTATGATGTTGTGTAAAAGAAGCAGGCACTGCCCAGGGCTTGCCTGCCCGGCAATTCCAGCTCGTGCGCGCTGGGCATGGGCAACAGCCAACAGCATTCCCTGAAGCCATCCTAGCTCAAACATGACGCCGAGTAGAGACATGAGGCCATACAGGTTATTCGGCATCCTTCTTCATGTAGAACCCTATGCAAGAGACTGACGAGCAGCAAACATGTAGTGTGTGGTCGGTTTGCCGAAATGGGGTTATGCCCCACGTCACCAAAGTTCTGGGTGAGCTGTGATGGGATGGGTTCGACAGTTCTACCGCGGTAATGTAGTGGATGCCTGCCGCAAATAACTCGTGCAAGAGAACCCTGCCAGACCTTAGCAGCTCTAGTACAAAAAACGGATTAATTTCGGTTCCATGTCTGGTCTAGCCAGTCCTGCGTATCAGAAGCATTGCCTGACGGCTCCAGCCCGTGCCTCAGGCTGCTTCGGTGCCGAGGTTCTTCGCAGCTTGAAGTCACAGGCAAAATTTGGCACAGGGTGATTGATTGCTGAGTGCAGCTCATGGCGGCGTCAAAAGACGTTGACAAGCCCCGAAAGGCTTCGCGCAGCCTGAGTCGATAGACACGCTTGTCCCGTCGCACGTACCCTCGGAACGGAAAGAAGCGAAAGGAGGCAACACGCCCTTAGGTGTGGTGCCATGAACTCCGCGTGACGGCAGCACGAGTCACTCGAGATTTGTGTCGACACGCACAACGCCAAAATAAGGCAAATAAGGTAACAGAGAGCACCGTTCGATAGTGGAGCCTCTGCTCGCCAGAGATTGTGGGGGGCACTTCTGAGATTTGACAACATCAAGGTAGTGCCTTCCATCACATGGGGATGTGGTTTCTCTGCCGGGCACTTGTGGCGTCTTGTGGTTCTCTGTGTTTCTGCAATCGTCGCAAGACATGGGTCTTCGGTCATGACCGCTGTCACAAGGTGATTCATGTTCTGCAAGGAGCACCTGCGTCCCTCTCACTTTTTGTGAGGAGCTTGGAGCACGGACCATCTAAGCTTTGGTCAGCTTGGTTGAAGGGTGGTGGCTCTATTTGATACGAGGCTATTGTAAGGTGTGCATCCACCTGGTTCAGCCATTCTTTGTGTCATTGCGCCCAGGCATTCAACAGTGGTCTGCTCTATGTCTATCAAGCACTGCAGTGTCCCATGGAAGCACTGCAAGGCCAGGCCCCTTGAATTCGAAGTCAGTATGGGTGCTCATCGGCGTTAACAGGGCTGGCACGCTCGTTTTTGCGAGTTGAGCTTGAGGGGTGTAAAGCATTCGGGTGCGTGGAATGCCTCACTCAGGGCTGCACGACGCGGCATGCAAATACTGCAGCTTCGCATTTTTGCTCCTCAAACGGTTACGGGTAGCTAGCTGGACGGCGTTTCCAATCTGGGGGAGCTGTGGCGACTAGACATGGTCTGTTAAAACAAGCTCACTATTGGAGTCTTTTGCCTCGGGTCCTGCTCTGAGGTAGAAGATCTCTGCTGCACAATGTAGCTGCTGGCGGCCTTATTGGTGCGTGGGGGGTCCAGCAAGGACTTCTTGGCGTTCCGTCCCTCGTGTGCAAGTTCAGAATAGTGGTTTCAGTCAGGAGGTCCTTGCAGCGTTTGCGCGTGTTTTGGAGAGACAGACCTTGGCATCATGGTATCAACAGCACCACTTTCTGGCTTCTATTCAGAACGCCCCGCTACCTGACAATTTTGATTCTTCTCAGGTTTGCCAGTCCTGCCTTCTTCTTCCGTGCGCCTTCCTGCAGTTAGTGTTCCAATGCGTCCCCATGCCCTTCTCTCTGGCTTTCGCATTCCAACCTTGGTTGCCTCCCCAAGAAAGCGCAAGGCTATCCGCAGGTGTGTTGGCCTTAGTGCTGCGGTCATCATACATGGGTGACGATCGTGTACCTGGACCTTATAGCTCCCCAGGACTCCGACAATGGCAGCGTTTCTGGTGTATGGATGCGGTGCAGGCGCACCCGGCTTAGTCTCTTACATCTCGCTGGCCGTGATGAGAAAACAAGCCTGTAAGGCCTTTGTCAATGCAACGGCTGAGGTGATGGCGAGCGCTCTCGGCGGCAAAGCTTTGTGAGTCAACGCCGGCTGGAGAAAGCAACCTGCGCACGCGGTCCCCGAAGAAGAGAGCGGCTTAATTTATTGGGCGGTATATTGTGTGTGTAGTCCTCTCCTCTGGTAGTCTGGATGCCTGCTGGGCTGCTGTCCCTCTGGTCTGCCGTTCTGTTCATACATGTTTTGATGCTTCGCTTTAGTTTTCCCTGGTTTTTGTGTTGCCTTTTGTTTTGCACCCTTGCTCATGTTTTTGGCAAGTGGAGGGGCATGCGGCATTAGCAAACGGAAAAAATAGATGGTACTGCAACCCCAAAACGCGACGTGGAAACAAGATTTTGATCCACTTATGGACTGTGTGGAGGACTTTGGCTTCAAGGAAGCTCAATAGTAGTGAAAATCGGCGCTAGCTAGCAAGTCGGACACCAAAGGCCTAAAACGGAAGGCCGTGATCATCAGCAAGCGTTGTGGATGCGAGCCTTTTCCGCAAAGAAGCGGCCATTTTGCATCTCCTTTACCGCAGCATTTTCTCGATACGAAGGATGAGCACATGTGTGGAGATACGGTCTTCTTCCTTGCTAGAGTTATCAGATAGCAGCTCGACGTATCTCAGCGGGAAGTCTACGTTGAGTTCTTATAGCCTCTCCATGCTTCAAGCCCAATCCAGTCCACAGCACGTGATACATTGCTGAACGCACCAGCAGGATGCAGCTGTCATTCCGCTTCGCGCATGGCGGCACTTATGGACCTGTTCAATGTGAGACCCACATGCGTGTCGATGATGTGGCCCACCGCCTGAAAACCCTTGTGAAGCCCGAGGAGAAAGTGTATGCTCGTCTTCTCTTGGAAGGTTCGTGGCTAACATCGTGTCAGAAGCTTTCAGAGACATCGTTGACCGATGGGGATGTTATTGAGACCGTGTGGGCTTCAGCATCGCCCCTAGCCGAGCAAGGCAACGACAGGCAGGAGGTCTTACCGAGACGGCCAGCGATCCTGCCAAGTTTGGACCGTCGTGCTGGTGCGCTTGACTTGCTCGACCTTTCCGGCATGTACAAGCTTCATCAGTCCCTTCATGAGATGGAACCACTGTTTACACCTTCAGTACAGGTGTTGGACATTCGCCAGTGCGGCTTGAAAGCACCGCTCCTGCGTCAGCTGCTCGCGCAGGCACCAGCCTCTCTGAAAGAATTCCGGGCCAGCCGCAATTTTATCGACCCCTCTGTGTTGGAGTGCCTTTGCGAGCGCAGCTTTCCCTTGAGGGTCCTGGACATTGGCTACTCTCATTGCAAGGACTGTTCGTTGTTGCCCCGCATCGGAGAAATTCTTGGGGCGTACTTGGAGGAGCTTGGAGTCGGAGATCTAGCAAAGCTGAAAACCTCGACCACACTGCTGGCCGCGGCGGTCACCAAGTGTCCAAACTTAAAGGTGGTGGACTTTGCTCACATCGACAACCTGGGCTTCTTAGATGAAACCTTCAAGAGCCTGGCGCAGCACTGCCCATTGATTGAAGCTGTTTATGGCTATCGCACGGAACCCCGGGCCGCAATGCTGCAAGACTTCCTCTCTCATTCCCGGAACCTGGCGCACTTGGAAGTGTCTGGTATCTCGGCACCTGAAACCATCCGGCAAATGGCCGAGCTCACTTCTTTGAGGTCTCTGCGCCTGGAGCTTTGCTCATCTGACCCAGACATGATGGAGTCTGTTTGCCGTTTGCAGGTGGAGACGCTGTTTCTGGAGTTTAATGGAGATCCGGACGCTGAAGGGTGCGCAGAGGATGATATAGAGTTCGTGCTGGATCTTTGTGACAATTCACAGGAACTCGCGAAGTCATTTGGCAAGTCCCCTGCAACGTGCATCTCGCTCATCGTTGCCGCAGCGGACCCTGTGGTACTTCAAGCTGTGGGTTCCAGACTACATGAGCTGGGGCCAATGAGGTCCCACAGCTCAGATCATTCCATTCTGGGTGCGCTCGTGCAGACGCCGAGCTGCTGTGTCAACCTTGTACGTTTGAGCATCAACTTCTACGAGCAGATTGATGCAGGCACTTTGGCTACGGTGGCCGGGATGTGTCCTCTGTTGAGGATTGTTCAGCTGAATGCCGACGAGTTTGGCTTTCAAAAGACGCCTATTGACGAGGGTGTCCTGGCACTTGGCCGCCAGTGCAGCAGACTAGAACATCTGGACTTCTGAGAGCAACAGTGTAAGTCATCGGGGTCATAGGGTAGGCCGTGTTCGGGCCTTTTGTCTCACTGGCAAATGCTTTGCCAGGACCTGTATGACCGGCTCTTGGGGGATCCCACCACAACACTTTCCACGGCGGTGGCTGGGTGGCCCGACCTCCGCTACCTATGTGCCGGTGGTACCACCGAGGAGGACTGGGAGGTCACTTTCATCAAGTAATGCATGGCGAGAGTCGGCTTTTCCTTTTCTGTAACCCCCGCAAACCGGAGGGGCTTCTATGATAAATGACATCAGCCGAGGTTGTAGATCCAGATGCTAAGATCGTGCACACGCTGGCAGCTTCGTGCCCCAGCCTCCAGCAGGCTGTTTTCTACGGCGAGCCTCCACACTGGTCAACCATCTTGCAAGAGGCTTGCCCTTTGTATGGACCAGATGACTTCCTGGAGTCAGACTCAGACGATGAGTAATGCGATGTAATGCGTGCCCTCGCAGATTCAAGAAAACTCCCGGTTCCCCTGCCGCAGCGAATATCCTTGCAGTGGGTTCGTGGATTCGTTTCACTATCAGAGAGAAGGAAGTACGAGCTCTGAGAACCGTATTCGTTTTGGGATACCATCCTTTCGGAGCATCAATGTTGGGGGGGGGGGTTTTGTTTCGGTACCTTGCTAGTGTTTTGGTGCTTGTTTTGTGTCGTCTGGTGGTCCCCTGCCCCCTTGGCTGCTCCCATGGTCTGCTTGCACAATTCAAAAGACAGTCAACAACCAACAGTGTGTCTTATTCAGCAAGCACACACCCAATCCTTTTTGGTCTCACTGCAGTCCTCATGCCACTCCCTCGATCCTGACTTCAGTCGAGGGTCATCATTCAAACGCTTCAAGAGCGAAACAGGCTAACAATACATTCAACAGACGAAACTATCATCAGCAGTCATTGAGCTTTGGCACTGCAGGGGCCATTCTCACTCATCCAAGAAATCTGAACTGCATTCATGCTAAAGTATACTATACATTCACGCATGCGCAAGCACCAGAGGCCAACACTTCACACCGTTCCAAGCTGAATCTAAGAAGTTCCACTCAGCAATTCGCTGAAACTGTTCTTCAGCATCGCACTTCTCAGGTCACTTCCAGCTAGAATTGGCTAATTTCGTGAAATGCTTTTGTGGGACAATCTCCACGCTTCGTCCGATCATTTTGCTCATCATCATAGATCTCGTCCTCGGTGCTTCAAGAAGTGTTTAGGCATGCGGATGTGCTGCGTGCCATGGACAATGTATGAAAGTTGCTACGGTGTTCCTAGATCCACCACGCCGATTAATCGTTCAACCGGTATCTCGGGCAGCTGTTGCAGGCGGTGGCCTCGTTAGACTGAAAAGTTCATTAGTTCATTTTGAAAGGGACGGCCGTCAAGCTTCCGCACGGTCTCGTGCAGCTTGCAAGACCTTCGGCTGATGTTGCTAGACCATTGTTGCCAGTGCAAGCTCCCAACAATTGATTTCTGCCGCAGCGCATTTGAGAAGCCAAGCCAGCTGCAAGTATTGCTCAAGGGCTCGACTGTGAAGATCAGCATGATTCGTGGCGTTGTCATCGCGCTCCTGTACTCGCAGGCTAGGGCCGGGCCGCTGAGTGGTCTGCTGGCGAGCCTGACAGGTCATGACAATGCCACCTGCGCCGACACCCATCAGGCCTGTGCCACGAGCTTTGGCGCCTTCTTCCCAGAGACCGCAGCGACACATGCGGCTGACCACTTCTTGCCCGATATCTCCAGCTCAGTGGCGGATGCAAGCGATGCGCACCACGACGGGCACTTGGCACAGTTCGATTCATCTTCCTTGCTGACCGGTCGGCGCCCCAAGATGTTCGTGAGCTTCGAGAAGAAGTGATGTGGCCCACCTCGAAGAACTGAGCTGCTGGGCTGTGAGGGAATCAAGCCACTTGGGCAGCAAGCGCCTGCATGTAGAGAACCATCACATGTCAGCGCCATTGCTGCTTTCGGCAGCTGTAAGGGCAGCCCACGGATCAGCTGACTGCAGAGAGAAGTTTCGCAGTTTCGCAGTAGCTGTATCAGATACTCTATATTATGACAAGGATATCCAGCTGCAGTATTGCTGGTTCCACGGCGGCAGGCGTCTCCTTAGGCTGTTGAGACACGGCTCGGATGTTATCCATGGCTACCGGGAAACATAGAGCGGGCACATGTGCACATGAAGAGCTATCACAGCTTGTACAAGACCTTTACCAACATGATCCATGACCAGCCTAGCAGTGACTAGCAGAACTGGATGTGTCGACCTGCTGTTGGAGCTGTGACATGTGAAATGCATTCATGCTGCAGCACATTCAGCTAAGAAGCCAAACTGCGTGCCTTAAACGTTGCCTCTGTTTCTCGCCTGGGATGATTCGTGGCGTTGTCATCGCGCTCCTGTATTCGCAGGCTAGGGCCGGACCCTTGAGTGGTCTTCTGGCGAGCCTGACAGGTCATGACAATGCCACCTGCGCCGACACCCATCATGCCTGTGCCACGAGCTTTGGCGCCTTCTTCCCAGAGACCGCAGCGACACATGCGGCTGACCACTTCTTGCCCGATATCTCCAGCTCAGTGGCAGATGCAAGCGATGCGCACCACGACGGGCACTTGGCACAGTTCGATTCGTCTTCCTTGCTGACCGGTCGGCGCCCCAAGATGTTCGTGAGCTTCGAGAAGAAGTGATGTGGCCCACCTCGAAGAACTGAGCTGCTGGGCTGTGAGGGAATCAAGCCACTTGGGCAGCAAGCGCCTGCATGTAGAGAACCATCACATGTCAGCGCCATTGCTGCTTTCGGCAGCTGTAAGGGCAGCCCACGGATCAGCTGACTGCAGAGAGAAGTTTCGCAGTTTCGCAGTAGCTGTATCAGATACTCTATATTATGACAAGGATATCCAGCTGCAGTATTGCTGGTTCCACGGCGGCAGGCGTCTCCTTAGGCTGTTGAGACACGGCTCGGATGTTATCCATGGCCACCGGGAAATATAGAGCGGTCACATGTGCACATGAAGAACTATCACAGCTTGTACAAGACCTTTACCAACATGATCCATGACCAGCCTAGCAGTGACTAGCCATAGATTGCCGGACTGCGAGGGCAGGAATTGACCCTTTTCTTGTGACCTTGCCGAGTGTGACGCAGCCGTGAAAGGTGCCACACGGGTTAGCGAACACGTTAGCCACAACTGCCGTGAGACGCCATGGCCGGTTGCCTTCTACTTTGGCTTTGGGCAGGTTTAGTGTCCCTCGGTTCGGGATTTAAGGTTCTCGAACAGAGCAACCTTACAGTTTCCGAAGTTCTGCGGCTTCCTGCAGGACGGCGTCTCTTGGTGCACTTGCGCAAGGATCCTGAGGCCGTGCAAAGGGCGGCTAAGGACCTAGGCATCATTCTGACGGAGCCGCATGAGCGTCTCCTTTCCACAATGAAGCATTCCGCACGCGGAACATCCCTGTTGCAAGAGGCAGGAACCAAAAAGGGGACGACAAAGAGCGGGAGGATGGCTCAGGCGATCTCCGCAGCCGGCCTCGAGACTGAGGAACTCCAGGCTGAGTGCGAGGCCGTGGCGGTGGACCAGTTGACTCGCTTGCTGACGGGTGAGGAGCTCCTCAGCTTTGATGAGATGGCCAGCCGGATGGCCGAGCCGGCCAAAAAGGCTGTCTTTGACAGTATCGTGGGGATCATCGGTGCTGCAAATCCTTTTGCTGGCATGATGGCTTCCATGGGCATGGGTGTCTTGTGGGGTATTTTGGGTGATCCCTTCGGACTCCAGCAGGAGGATCCCATGGAGGCGCTTTACAAGAAGATCATGGAAGAAGTCAAGGAGCTCATTGATGAGAATGCCATGAAGAGGGATTTGGAAGAGCACAGAGCTGAGATGACAGCATTACTCCAGGAGATGGATTGGTTTCCAGAAGTCTTGCAGCAAGTCGGTACAGGAGCAACCCAAGGCCTTGAAAGCCACACTGCTGTACTTTGGCACATCATGGTACAGCAGCACATCGCGTTGTTGACTGGCAAGCTTTGGTCTGCTCCATGCCTTACTAATGTCTACAGTGATTCGTGCAGGTCTTGGCAACAGAAGCCTGGAGTTCTGGAGTTGGCATTGAAGCTGGCCGGCATTCAGCAGCAAGAGCTCCTGGAAATTGCCCGGCTCGAGCCAAGCTACAGAGATGGCCTGGACAAGCGGATGCTGCAAGTGATTCAGAGCCATTACCGTCAAGCCAGTGCTGCCTTCCAAGTGTATGTCCATGCTCGTCTTCACAATTACGTGCATGATGGGCGCGACGACTTCCCAGGTGCCACATCGTTGGGCAATGGCCATGACAACCAGAAGAAGATTTTCGACAAAACCCACCGATCACTCCGCTCCCACATTTCCAAATGGGCAGCTCTCCTTGGGGCAGCAGAAGGCGCCACAAACTCTTTCTACACCAGCCAGAGCGTGGACGATCCGCCAGTTGTGTCACTAAACCCTAGAAATCATGAGAATTGGAGGATCCATACAACAGAACAACCAAATGGCGTGTTGCGAGTCATTACCGGCCTCTTCATTTGGCTTGGAGGTGATGTTGGCTTTCACACCGTTACTTTCCTTTCGCAAGACCTGGTTCGAGCGCACCAGGCAAAGGTTCAAACCATTGATCATGCTGGGGACCACAGTCACTGGAAAAGATGCCCAGTGGGCACGTTCATGAGGGCCATGTACAGTCCCTTGGGGTCTAATCGCCGCCGGCATGATCCGTGGACACACTGGGACAAGACCGAATGCGTGGAGATCCCCGTCACGCCTACTCCGCTCTCCGAGGACCGGACCCGACAATGTTTCTAAATACTTTGTAGCTTGGGGTCACAAGATGTCATTAGTGAACTTCCAACCCCAGGACAGCTACGTGCATGACAATTGCTACAACATTGATGCCATCTATCTCCTGGATCATCATGGGGATCTGAAGAGATGGGTCCAGTGTGATCCCGGCTACGCCCTGAGGGGCATCTTGCAAGGCAATGGTGAGGGTGTGTCCAATTTACAGGAGTTTCAATGCTGCTCCCTTGCGCCGCTAGGGGCTCGAAACCGAGAGCTCCGGATCGACGATGCTACCTACAAGATGCGGCAGGTGCCCTACCAGCAACTCGACTTCGAAGGGTTCAACAACCTCGGGAACGGCCATTGTGACAGCGGTTACTATACCACCCATCATGGAGAGACTTTCCAGTCATGTGCGGCGCTCTGCAATCGGGACAGCAATTGCAAGTTCATCTCCGTGGTCAACGGCATCTATTGCGCGTTCTACGACACAACCGACTGCGGCCTGCGAATCCATCACAAGCACGAATACACTTCGTATCAGAAGGTCGATTACCGAAAGCGCGTGCCGAACTACTCTTACTTGGGCTGGGGTTATTGCAAAAATCATTATCTCAGAGGATGGGTCGCAGCAGATGCAATCAGCTTCCAGGCGTGCGCGGACAAGTGCGACGAAGAGGCAGACTGCAAATACTTCGCCTTGTTCAAAGACCACACTTGCTCACGCTACAGCGCGCAGGCTCAAGATGGGTGCGCCAGTCGCTACCATGCGGTGCGAACCCAGGCTAATCCTCACATCTCCTATGAAAAGATCAGGTGATGTAACCTGCAACTTGCGCCAACCGAGTGGGAAAACCTGGGCCTCAAGCACCTCAAGTGGAGACCACTGATTGCGCCGCATGAAGCAACAATTCCATATCAAGCAGATAGGACTCGGCTAGACGACATTTTCTTAGGGCCAACATCTATGTGGAAGTACTGCGCGTCAAGGAGAGGCAGAAGTAAGCCTGGCAGTTATTTGGTACATATCATTGAGTTTTAGTATTGCGCACAAGAGGTGTCTCTTGAAAGTTTCGAGCAGGTATGGAGCATGTTGAGATGTCGCAAGCTGTTTTCGCAGGGCAGAAGAGGAGAGGCCCCGTCCCACGAGCACAACATGTACGTTACAAGAACAAGAATGACAGGAAGAGTGAGAGAAAGGGATCGCCGCTACACACACATTCTCACAGACGAATGAAATCCAAGCGCAAATCACGTTCTTAAATATCCAGTAAAACTCGGTCATGCCACAAGAAAGTGAACAGTTCGTGAGTGAGAGCTACCTGGTTTCTGAACTATGGCAAGTATCGAGGGCAAAAGAGATAACATTATAATGGCAACTCGAGAGGCAACAGAGAGCCTCACAAGAAGATGCTGGGTCCATGTGGTTTATAAGCCCAA